CTCTGCTACACTCTGGGTTTCTGGGCTGCCTGTGATTTATTTACTGAGCCCATATTACTGTTGCATTAGGAACAATGCAAAATACTACTGCATGTATTTCACTTGAGTTTGTGGACCGGAAGTATCTGCTGGAGGGAGCAGCTCTCCTAGCCTCGGGACACAGGTGGGAGCACCTCAGTTGCCCGAAGTGCCAAATGTCTGTGTGCTGTCCTGTTCCAGCAGGCCGGCTGGGCAAGGCTCAAGAGCTTGGCAGAGCAGCCAAAGCTAAGGCAAAGCAAAAACAAACAGGCTTTCCCAAGCACTGCAGGTGTTACCTGCAGAACATGCCAGACCTGGGGGACAAATGTATTTTTGTGCTTACAAGCTCTGTAGGGTCACAGACCAGAAGCTGGGTGTGGAACTGAGAGAAGGATCAACAGATACTTTTTGTCATAGCAAGGCAGGAAGTTGACCAGGACAGAGTGAGGACTGATTCTATGGGGAAGAAGTGGACATACCTGACACTTCATGACAGCCAGGCTTGTTGTGGCTATTGTCGTGGGCTGTCTCACATGCCAGCACCACTCTAAGGAGGCCACGTCTATAGCTCTGCCTTTCTAAGAGGATATGGGCATGGAAACACCCTACAGCTGCTATTCCTGGAATCTAGGCTGAACCCAGCCTGACTTCAAAGGCTCGGGGACTCCAGAAATTCAGGTGCTTTGTGCCTGATTGTGCGTCTTGAAAACCTCTGATACAAGGCTGTGATGGGATATGACTCTGTGCTTATGCATGCATGGCTGTCCTTTTTCAGCTAGTTCATCTGTAACAGTGGGTATTAGTAGATATGTGGGCTGTCTTGCTGTCTCCCAACCTAGGCTACAGATTGCTGATCACAGAGCTCCAGGTACCCCTGAGCCAGTAATTTGTGATACCTGGACAATATTGGGGGTCCTGTTTCATTGTGACATGACCTCTGATACAGTTTAACTCCAGAGGGGTCAACCAAGCCAAACCTTGCCCTGGCATGCTGACAAACCTTGTTATGGACCAATTTCAATACACAAAGACGCCTTGCTAGGTCATTCCAAACACGGGTGACTTGATTACTGGGATTATATGCCTCACTCCTTCTTGCTACGTGGCTGTCATTGACCCCAGCCTTGATGGTGACCACAGTATAGTTTCTGTCCGTCCTCACCTAGAACAGCCTCCTTGGGCTTCTGGGAGACCTTCTCCATAACCCAAAGTCCACCAGAATCCACTTGAGGGGTCTGCACTCCCCTGAGCTAAAGTTCCAGCTGTATACTCAATGTGGTCCCTTGTGACAGCCCATATAAGGCAGAGATGCTGAGAACATGCAGCATCTCTCCATAATAGTTGGAAGAGGAATCAAGACTTTTTTCCTTTGTATCGGGGACTATGGGGGTCCAGCCCCTCGATAGTCCCCTCCCAGGGTCCGGGAAGAATCTACAACCAGCTGATAATTAATCTTTGATGAAAAGAAATGAATCTATGTACATGAGACTCCTAGTTCATACACTTTATTATCTGTGATAGTTCTCTCTCTACACAGCTTCTATTCTGCTCTCATGCCTAGCTCCTTTCTTGCCTGATTTCTCTATATTTATCTACTGTCCCCTCTAGGTTCTATCTTAATTCCTTCATCTAGTTCTGTCCGTTCTAGGTTCTCATCTGTCTAGTTCTTTCCCCTATCAGCTGCTCTCCCATCTCCTTCTCTCTCATCTTGTTCTTCCCCATCTGGCTCTTTTTCATCTTCCATCTCCTTCCTCTAGTTCTCTCTTCTAGCCCTTCAATCTAGTTCTTCCCCATCTCAGTTTGTTCTTCTCAAGTTCTTACCCGTCTAGTTCTTCCATTCTCTTTTCTCTTCTCCGTCCTGTGCCCTGGAAGTCCGGGTATATAAAGGGAGGGTCCGAGCTAAATTGTGTAAAGCTATTACTTAACATCCACCTCTCCTAGGCGGCGTCTCCTTGTGGAATTTACCTTAAGTCAGAAGACTTGCAGGTGGGCTGCTGTCATTGTTAGTCCTTGAAAGTTGGGGCCCACCTGGGCTGTGTCTCCTTGTGGAATATAAGTCAGGAGACTCGCCTGTGGGTTGTTATCACTGTTAGTCCTCGGATGTTGGGCGCCCACTTGGGTGGTGTTTCCTGTAGTCCTTGAAAGTGGCTAAGGGAGATAATCTGATTCCAGAGAAAGCCTTTCCTGAGGCTGTTCTCCAAATACCTGGAATGTGTATGTCCAGAGAGTGCTCAGTCTATACTGTTAGCCCTTAGGGAAAAATCAATTGGGAAAGCTATGAAGGCACACATGATTTTCATAACAGAATACAACTGATATATAACAAGCCAAGTTATACCAAAAACTCCTTGGGATTTGGCTTCCTCTGGAGGAATTCCCTGATCCCTCCAGGTAGTGACTTTGCCATAACCAGCTGAGTTCTTATGATAGATTCCTGTGGCCCGCAGCACCTTTGGGGCAATCTTGGGCAAGTGTCACTTCCTCTGCATCTTCCTCTGTCCCCCAGAGTACTCAGCTGTGACTCAGAAGGGGATTCTGGGTACAGGAAACCTAGAGAACAACTCCAGAACTGCATATGAGAGGGCCCCATGGCTTTACAGACAAGGAGCTCTAGAGGGGACCAAACGGGCAGGACTGGCTGTGCTTGTGGGAAGAACAGGACTCACCATTTCTGAAGTTCTTTGAAATGTTGTGCCCAGATTGTGACCCCCCAGAGAGACCACCTAAGACGAGCATGCTGGAATGGAAAAGCAAGGTTTAATTCTGGATATACTAGCCTAGGCAGGGACTTCGTCCAATACACCCAACACAGTGGAGGCTGGAGGAAGTGCCCACCTGTCTGCAAGCTCAGCTTTTTTTTTTTTTTTTTGATTATGAATCGGTTATGGGCTGTAGAGACAT